TTTTGCGATCATCAGACAAACAGGTTTATTTTCAAAAGTGGATCTGTTTATGCTTATTTGTGTTTGATTATTTGTATTTGGTGGAAAGGGGAATTTTCTTCTGTGATTGTTTGGCATGACACATATACATATATAGACACACATACATACAGGTGTATGCATTTTTGTTCGTACAAACATACCCATATAAATAATCTGAGGTTAGACGCAGTTACACATCCATGCGTACGAGATCCCAAACAAACACAGAAGAAAATCCCCCCCTCCACCACACACAAATAATTAAACACAAATAAGCATAAGTATATCCACTGTTGAAAAAATAAACCAGTTTGTCTGATGATCGCAAAAGCGTGAAACCCGGGGTTACAAACTACTATCCATGAAACTGAATATGTTAGAATTATCACGGATATTAACCACTTTCCACTAAGTACCGCGCCTATATATATATATATATATATATATAGTTTATTTATTATCATGTACTGGGCTTAATATTCGAGAAATTTTATTAAAAATAATATGCGTCTTCCTTGTCAGGAGAAACTTGGAGGGGGGAGCATATTTTTATTGCATATGATTTCTCGAATATTCAGGCAGGTAGACAATAATAAATTTACAGTTTGAGATATATAGCAAAACGTTTACTCAAATATGGTTATCCACTAAAGGTTTAATAACGTTTAAGAAATATATATATATATATATATATATATATATATATATATATATATATATATAATTTTTGTCTGATCTCAATAATTTCTTCAATAAAAATATCTTAGATAATGTAAAGATGTGCAGAAACCAAGTTACTCTATCTCGAAGACTTTCCGTCACAGAACATTTCAAAGATGAACAAAGAAGTACAAAAAATATTCTGGATCTTTTTGATTCTTCATCTCAGATAACAAACAATACAACACACACACACACAAAGGATCATTAGCTGGTATGGAATGATTGGATCTCTATTTGAAACTGTGTCATTATCGATTGATTTTACTTGCGAAAACCGGTATTTCAGTGACGTTTATATTCTTGTAAAAAGATGTGACGGGGCGAATGCGACTCAGCCACTGCTACGCCAATCAGCCTTTAATGGGAACGCATTATCATTCAGCGATAACTCTACTATGCTAAACAATAGTCAGCCAGAGAAATATACTTAATGTGAGTGCGTGCGTTCTCAATCTCTAACCGTTTATCAAACAACTGTGCTGAACAATAGTCAGCCAGATGAATATAATCAGTCTACTGAAATATATTTGCGTGTGTGTAATGCTTACACACATTTTCATGTAGCAAACAGCAGTGTGCTGAACGATAGTCAGCAAGAGATGTGGGTGTGTACTTTCTTAATTTATCTTCGTTCATAAACTAGCATTATTATAATTATTTTCTTTTTTTTAAAAAAAAAAGAAAATGATTATAATATTATGCTCTACTGTTTGTGTGTGTGTATGTATATATATATATATATATATATATATATATATATATATATACTAATTCCTTATAATAAGACAGTATGTATGGAGAGGGAATATACGTATGCGTACGCATGCTAACAAAACAAAAAATGGAAATAGATCTAAGAACACATAGGGGTCATTAAAATATAAGAATATAGATATCTTTCTCGGACCAGTCTTAATTATTTTATTACCCTTCATGCAGAACTTTTTCACTGCCAGTTCAAGGAAGACATTTGGGTCACTAACAAACAAAAAAGAGAATGTCTAATGTAGAGAATATTTAACATTGAAAAACATAAGAAAAATGAATTCCTTATAATTATGTGGAAATCTCCACGCTTTTCCTGATGAAGGTCGCGAGACCGGAAACCTGTGTAGCAAAATTATGAAAAATAAAGCATAATATATTTAAAAAAAAAAAAAATCCACATTACAACCAAAAACGTTTGCGGTTTCTCTCTTCTTTTTAATATACACACTTTTCTCTAGCTGGAACTCCTATAACCTCTTCCCTTTATATATATATATATATATATATATATATATATATATATATATATATATATATATATATATATATATTGTTACTCCAAAATTCGCTTGAGGATAAAATGGAACTAATGTCTTTAATTTAATTACAAAATTATATTCGAAGCTTTTAGCTTCTATTTTTGAAATATGGTTAGAACTGTGTAGCGAAAAAAAACATATTTTAAATCAATTAATTTATAATACTAATGCTTTGTAAATTTACATTGAGCACTATTTTGTAAAAATAAAAATATGTATAAGAACATCGGATTATATATCTTACTGTTCTTTCTTATATATATATATATAATATATATATATATATATATATATATATATATATATATATATATATATATATATATATATATATATATATCTTCAAGTTCTTTTCGAAAAATGGTCGATGTGACTTCGTGTGGTACTATTAAGAAGTGTCTGAAAACTGAGGGTTTGAGAGTGCTGGCCTTGTTCAGATTGTTGATCAC